TTGGTTCTGGTATTAATAAAAAAAAGAAAATTGGGCAAGAACGTTACATTTACTAAAAATTACATCTAAGCAAAAAAGAAAATTAAGCATTCATTAGTTGGTTATCCAGGTCACACCACGCGGAAGTCAATACTCAAGTGGCTCATGTACCTCACTTTGGTGGATTTGGAATTAAATAAATAAATAAAGAGAAGTGTATATACAAGTAACTTAGAATATGATCCACTTGCCATTAGCCTCAATAATTGACAATGCGACGAATGCGCTGATGAAAATTAGTTCTACTCGACAAGAGAACCATATTTCCAGAATCATTAGATGCTTTCTTCACAGCATTGAAGAATGTACTCATGAAAGGAGCTACTACAATGCCAATGGCGAAGTGTCCAGTATTACGAGTATATCTTCACACAATGGTCTCATATACAAAGACGACCTCTCTACCTAAAAATTTAAAAACATGTACTTAAAAGGGCGTTACTGTATGTAGTATAGAAAACAATAATTAATTACGTATTAAGCATGAAAATTAGTAGTTCTTGTATTCAATCACAATGGTGATCCCGGCGATTCGGTATACAATATTCATACCTCCATCACTGTGACTACTATACGTAGAATAAATAATAAATATATAGTGAATATTTGTGTCATTATCATTAGCCAACAAAGACCACATGGCCGGAATAGTCGATGGATACATGCTTAAATGCCAGAGTATATCTTATTCACCAACTTCCCAGAAGAACACTTCCCAATACAGAAAGTGCCTCTAATGCAGAGAGGGCCAATTAAGCTACAGGAATATCCATAACTAATAGAGAAGAATGTTAACTATCAAAATAGTCGCCATGATGAGCTTTCAATTCTCTATCAGATTTCATTACAAGGATGTGGCAGCGTAATTTCAGATACACCATGACTCAACAAATACTCAGTGAGAAAACTCACTCAGTATATACATATTGCATATTTCTTGTTAAATTTCAAAGTTTTCTAACTCTTCTGAAATGCATTCTTCTTAATACATCGATAATGTCAAATTTGAGGATTCTTCCTAATACTCTGGTGTTAAGTTTTACGCGGATGCTAATGACTTGTCTTTCGATATTCGCTATTTTTTTGTAAAAAAAAAAAAAATCAAAAAAATTAAGTATTTTACGTATTAAATAGATACCCCTTTTTGTTAAAAGCATTTCAACACATTTCCTGTTGCATAACAAGACTTGATTCGGCACTGAAACACAATTGTTAGATAAGCCATTTTGCACAAATGACGAAAAACAAAAACCCTGATAAAAAGCAAAACTCCTGACAAAAGCCAAAACTCTTAACGAAGGTCAAATTCTTCTAAACCTTAAAAAAGACTAAATAAGCCATGTTGATAAATAAAAATATTTTGTGTAGCTATTAAGTACAAAGGTGTGGCTTATGTAAAAAAAATTTACCTTAGTACTATACGTACATATGTATATAGTATTGGACATTGTTATTCATTTAGTAATAATTTCATTAGTAGTTGGCTGTTTTTCTGGATTTGAATCCATGCATCGATTTGCTAATTCAACATAAGAATTAGAAGTTCCAATTCCAAATTTTGGTTGTATAAACAACAAGGTAATTTTTCTTTTTCAGAATTTCATTCAAAATTTCCAACTATTTAATTTAGTAATAATTTCATTAGTAGTTAGCCGGTTTTCTGGATTTGAATTCATGCATCGATTTGCTAATTCAATATAAGAATTACGTAGAAGTTCCAATTTCAAATTTTGGTTGCATAAACAACAAGGTAATTTTTCTTTTTCGGAATTTTCATTCAAAATTTCCAACTATTCATTTAATTTAGTAATAATTTTATTAGTAGTTGGCCGTTTTTTTGGATTTGAATTCATGCATTGATTTGCTAATTCAACATAAGAATTAGAAGTTCCAATTCCAAATTTTGGTTGCATAAACAACAAGGTAATTTTTCCTTTTCAGAATTTTTATTCAAAATTTCCAACCATTTATTTAATTTAGTAATAATTTCATTACGTAGTAGTTGGCTATTTTTCTGGATTTGAATCCATGCATCAATTTGCTAATTCAATATAAGAATTAGAAGTTCCAATTCCAAATTTTGGTTGCATAAACAACAAGGTGATTTTTCTTTTTCAGAATTTTCATTCAAAATTTCCAACCATTCATTTAATTTAGTAATAATTTCATTAGTAGTTGGCTGTTTTTCTAGATTTGAATCCATGCATCAATTTGCTAATTCAACATAAGAATTAGAAGTTCCAATTCCAAATTTTGGTTGCATAAACAACAAGGTAATTTTTCTTTACCTCCTTAATCTATTAAAAAGAATCCATTCTTATGTTCTAAAATACTTGTCTATGCAAGTTTGCTGGGCGGAACTTGACAATATTAAATCCGATAATGAGAATCATCACATGTAAAATGAATGGGAAAAATGGAAAAAGAAAAATGATAAAGAGGTTAGCATTTGTATAAATCTCATTTTTTCTTGTTCTAACCAGATTCTCAGATCTTCTAGTCATGGTCTGGCTCGAAAAATTAAATACAAGACAATGCCTGGGTCAAGAATAATACTAAGATAGTACTGAGATAGATAATGTTGAAATTCAGTGTCTTGGTTATGTTCCGATACTACTCTACTTTCTGAATTAGTAAAGGAAAAAATAACATCCTCCCTTCTTCAAAATAAAACCGGCTTTTGACACCTAAAACAAAAAGTTGACTATTTCTGAATTAGTACTTATACGTATATCTTTATATTTTGATTAAATATGTAACTTCTTTTTTTTTTTGAATTAAATCAAATTTTAAAAAGTTGAAAAATTATTTTTGTTTTAGGTTATCTTATTTTAAGACATCGTGATTATGTACAATTTATATATCATACATATCTTCATCAAGATTAGATCTTGTGGCGCAGATATTCAGCACAAATCAGATTTCAGAATTTCATATGTATATATACGTAAGAAATTATCATTGATGCTTTTTCCTTACTTTATGCGTAAAATCTAGCCCTAACTTTTTTTTGCTTTTAAAGATCATGGTTTATTAAGTATGTATACACTTTAAAGTACGTATTACTTTGACAACTTTTATATATATATAGTTCGTATATATATATTTCGACTTCTATTAAAGCTTATACAAAATATCTTAATCTTGAGCGAATTCTTCAAAAACTTGTTCTGAAATTCGATGATGAGAACGATACTTCTTTACTGCATAGTTAGCAGCCTTTTCAGAAAGCCCAAGTTCATAAGCACTCATAAAGCATTCAGAACAGCGAACAAAGCAGCGAATTTTTAATAAACCAACAGAATCTAATACCTTTAGAACGGTTTTTTTGAGGCCTTTAAAACTATAATCACAGTGAATTCTTGTATAACATTTCACTTCGGCCCAAACAAACTTGATGTAATTAAATTTACAATGGAACTTAGGGTAAAAGATATACATGTGGCCGGCATCTTCAATTGTCTAAATTATTATATATGTAAGTAATAGTTTTTAAATAATTTTTCTTTTTTTAAAAAAAAAAACAACCTTATTTACCTCTCATAAGCGTGATCTTTGAGATGCAAAGTCGGGTTGAGCTGAAAGAATACACGAAGTACAACAGTTTGGATTGGTTGGATCAGGCTTATTTTTTTTACAAGTATCACATTTTTTTTATTAGACCTTTGATCTAGGCTGATAATGTGCCTAACCCATCTTCTCCACAGGCTAAACCATTTTCCCTCCATTATTAGACATGTAAATTTATTATAATGATACAGAGAAAAATTTTTTTATCTCAGCCAAAATCTATATTTATATCTTAGTGGACAAATTTTTCAAATTTTGGGGTTTCATAAATAATACGTACGTATTATCAATCAGCCATAATCCCTGATCACTATGCCAATGTCACGGGGATTATAGCTATTTCAAAAAGATGTGGAAAATGATTTCCATATATGTACGCATGTAGGGAATCGAAGAATGTGAAAATCCTGCTTAGTGAAAATTAAAGGAAAAAAAGATGGTGGGTTCTTAGTATAGGAAATAGAATTTCTAAAGAATGCCACCCAACTAACCAGACCTGCAAACAATTCCTGCTCAAAAAAAAATAACTGGATTGAAAAAGTTACTTGATGGTATTTGTTAAAAAGTTGCAATTCAAATAGAAAAATCCAATTAGAATGGGTTTTGAAAACTCTGGAAATCTGGAAATATTGTGAATTCTTCATGGTATAGTTATATATAGATGTCTAAATTATTTTTTAAAAAAAGCAATTTCGACAAACATTTCAACTTGCTAGTTATTTTATATGAATTCCACAAAGTGACTATACTACCCAATGTATTTTGACATAAAGAATTCAAAAATTTCGACAACTATGAAATTTAATTTTGCCATTAAAAAAAATTAATTTCAACAGACTAATTGTTGAAAAAATTTTTTATTAAAAGGAGTAATTTAGACACCTATGTATAGGTATAGTAAACTACATCTTTTCACAGGTTTTTGAAAATGGCTGTAATGAATAATATCCTGATCCATATGTAAATAAGCGAAATCTTCGTTTTGCTAATCCCCAATAAACCAGGATATTATTATTCCTAATATTTTAGTAAGTTGGTTAAAGACATTTTAACTAATTTTTGATTTCTATTCTTAATTACAGGGCCCCAGTATTCACATTAGTGATTTTGTCTGTAAAACTATCGGGCGTCTCAAACTTTCAGACTATGAAATTGCTATAAATGACTTACTTCCAGATTCCATACGTCTCAAATATACCGAAGCAAGTGTTGCCATCTATCCAGGCATAAATTATGATGGTTGGTGGACATGCGACAATTTAGTTAATCAGGTAGCTTTATGTGCCATACCAATATTTGAACGAACGCACCCCAACAAGATAGTGCTATTCATGTTTGATAATAGTAGCAATTATGGTTCATTTGCCGAAGATGCCCTTTTGGTCTCACAAATGGGCATGAAAGATGGTACAAAAAAACTACTTCTTCGTGCTGGTAAATATCGCAATGGTTCCGAGTATGTAATAACCTATAGAGACAGTAATGGTGTATTAAAGCCTAAAAGAATTAAACAGGTTCTTGAAGAAAGAGGTTTATGGATACCAGGCCTTATAAAAAAAATGTGATACTTGTAAAAAAAATAAGCCTGATCCAACCAATCCAAA